GAGGCGATCCGCTCGCGCGTCGAGCAACCTGGGCTGCGGCATTGCGAATTGTCCCGCACGCAAGAGCAGGGGGGAGAAGGAAGAGAGAGACGGCCGCAGAGACAGCAAAGGGGCGGGGGGCGCACTCGCGCGGCAGGGCCGCGGGGCGCGCGCGGGGCGGCCAGGCTGCGGGGTCGCGAAAATATCTGCACAGCGCACTGTTTGTCTTTGAGCCGCCCCCCGGCCGTCCGCGGCGACGCATGGCGTGGCAGCAGAGCTCGAGGCCGCTCCGACTTTCCCTGGCACTGATGAGCGCCCTCCTATGTCAGCTCGTTCTGGGGCATCGCCCGAAGAGCTTCGAACCCCCATCGAGAACGCGAAGCAGACGATGGATGGACAGATCATGGCCCCGCAAGGGCAGATGGCGGCCTTCTCGCCACATCTCGGCACTATCTCCAACGCCGTCACCTCATCCTTCGAGAGTGGGGCGCAACGCACAGCAGCGCACCGCAGAGATTCGAGCGCTACATCGAGACGTCCAGCAGATGCGAGCGGCGCTGGAAAACATCCGAGATGAACGACCTTAACCCAGGCCCTTGGACCCCAGCTTCCGACGGGATATTGACGTCACTTTCATCGCGATCCCAGTCGCTCGCCCCCTAGCTGGAACGCAACGCGACCGAATATGAAAACATCGCCCTGGAAGGAGGAACAGCTGGCCGTCGGCCCACTCCTCGCACCGGAGGCGCCAAACCCTCTGCTGAGAGGAAGGTGCTGCAGCTACTGGGGCCCTCAAGAAAGCCAATTGAGTGTGTTAGCAGTTCGTGGGCCGCGGCATCGATGGGGCCCCGTCTGAAATCTACGTTTCTGGCGACAAGAACCCCGAGATGGTCGAGGAGGAGCTCGGCCTCAAGAAGGCCAGGGCAGCATGCGGCGAGTTGCGCCCGAATCCCAGGCCGTTCGGAGACGAGGCCAAAGGGGGGCCCAGCCACGCGTGGGAGCCCGTTTTCAGGATCGAGCCCCGCCCGGGAGATGGAGAGCCCACCCTCCGCTACGCCGCCGAGAACTTGGCTGCAGCGGGTGTCGACGTTGCGCGAGTTCGCGCAGCTCTCTCTCGGGCATATGCGAACCTCACTGTCGCGATGACACGGTGCCGCTAACCTTCTCTTCGCGATGTGGCGCGGACGCGAGAGTTGGCAATTGCCTCTGGCCGCGTGGAACTCCCGAGCCCACTTCCAACATGATTTGCGCCTCCGTGATTTGAAGGTTCGCCTCCTCCACCCCCTTCTTCGCCCGGGGGCCATCCTTGCCTTTCAGGAGAGTCATGGGTCAGAAATGGAAGCGTCAGAGTTGATGCGCCACATGCGCAAGGATTTCAGCCACTCCTAGTTTTTGCTGCTCGTCTCAAGCAGGGGGGGGAATTTCTCGTTACCCGAGCATCTCCAACCTCGGCGAGAACGCGCCAGCTATCATGCCCCGAGTTTTGGCCCGGCCCGGGGAAGGGCCCTCAATGCGCGCGTTGAGTTTTCCGGGTGCGTCTGGTTTAGCCGCTGCAACGCTCGCAAGTTTGGGCTTTCTGCTGAAACGAAATAGGATATCAGTGATGCGTTCCTCGGGGACCTCGAACTGGCTAAGCACTCTCCCGAGACGAGCTCGGCGGTGGTGGCTAGCGATTTCAACTTTGCCGACGTTCGCTGCGCCCCTAGTCTTGGACCCTCGGACTGAAATCGCGGCCTGCTCTCGGACATATCAGGGAAGATCGCAAAGGGCAAGATGGTGGATGTATTAAAGCTCTGGGACACATGACCGAAATGCAGGTTGCCGACCCGACCCATTATAACGAGAAGCATCGACCGCTCACCTCCATAGACAGGCAGTTCGTGAGTTCCCCCGGCTGGGTCCTGAACCAGCTCTCGATCGTTGGCGAGGTCGCCGACCTGCCAAAGGTGCTGCGCAAGCGCGGCATCAGCGATCGCGCTCCAGTTGTTGTTTCAATCACTAGCAGCTTCCCCGGTAAGACCCCGAACGAGTACCAAAGCACCCCGAAAGACGTGTACACCCCAGGTTCAGAAGCTTCCTGGAGAAAGTTTCGGAACAGTGCAACCTGGACGAGCTTTCGCCCCTCTCGGCCATGGAGTTCGCTGAAAACACGATGCGGGAAGCTGCCGGTGTTGCTGGGAATGCTATGCCACGGAGCTCGCCTGAATTTTTATTCTCCAGGCTGAGCAAGTATCGTTCGGGCTGCTTGGAGACAGGATGTGGCGTTGGCTATGAAAATCAGGTCGAGATCCGAAGTCGGCAGGGCCCTCCTCCACGTCGGCGCGGTGCGCGGGACGGTTGAGCTTAGTGACCCCAGTGCGTCTGTCGCCGCATCCGAACAGATGAACATATCCATGGCCCGGCGAAACGAAGCTCGGACAAACGTGGGATATCCGCGACGAACAGCGAGACGACACGAAACAAGCTACGGCGACGACTTCGAGGACAGATGCTGCGGGGCAAAATCTGGGCACTCCATGAGAGAGGCATGGCGCTGCGAGGTGTCAGAGCTGCTGGCGGGGGTGCCGTTCATCGCCAGCCAGACGAAGTGCCGCGGCAGCTTTGGCTGCACCGGGGCGCTGCACTCAGAGTCCAGAACAAGATCAACGGTGAGATGATTGACAGGTATCTGACAAAATGCGGAGGGCTTCCCACCGCCCACCTTTCAGGACATCCAGAGATACTTCAGAAAGGCTCAGAACAGCGCTCCACGTCCTGATGGGCTTATCTACTCAGCATGGGCCCTCAATCCGTTTGGGGCTGCGGTGCTCGATGGGGCTCTCTGTTGGATGCTTCAGGGGAATTCACGATTACCTTCGTTCAACTAAATCTAAGGGGCCTTCTCGGCGAAGGGGGGGTCGGGGGGGGGCGGCAAGGAGGTCGTTCGAGGAGCAGGAGACGCTGGGCCCCTTGGGCTGAAACAGACGTCCAACAAAGTGCTGCCAGGAGTTGCCAGTTCCCACCTGAGTCGTCGGCGCCATGAATTCATTGATGATGAGCAGAGAGGATTTGTGCGAGTGCGAAATTTCGGAGTCAGCATCCTAGAATTGGACGCGAGAGCTCGCATGGCCAGCACGCAGCCGTCCGCAGCCTTATCTCCCCCAGCATTGCGTGCATCTGATTGCGGCCAAGCCTTCCCATCAGTGGCGCACCATTGGAGCTTCAAGAGTCTTGACTGCATCCAGCTGCCGCCGCCGACGTTGATCTCCCTGACATGCATGTGCGATGGCGCGCTGTGCTCTGGCCGCTTCCAGCAGCAACCCCGCCTTCTCTGCCCGGCCTGGTCTGGCGCCCTGCAAGGCTGCCCAGCATCTGCAGCGAGATGCGCGACGCGCAGCCACCCCCTCCGCGGATACTTTCGCGAGGCGTTGGCCGCTGGCCCCCCTGAGCGACCCGTCGCCGCAGTCGAGGCCTGCGCGGGCGACGCGGGGGCCGCCCCTCGCTGCCCTCCGACGCCTGTGGCCCCTGACGCGCGCGCTCGGCAACAGTCGAGAGCTTGCCGATTTACGCCTGAAGCCGAGCAAATGATGCATTGTGCCGCTGTTTGGTAAATTCAGCGAAAAGGGTAAACGCGCGCACAGAACCTGGCCAGTTCAAAATGTTCCCGAATGGGCCGACTTTCAAATAGTGAAGCTGATCGCCTACCTTGGGCTGATCCTGGGACCTGGGGCCACCGCGGAGGCCCAGCACCTGCACATCCAGAAATGGACCTCTCGGGCGTTCCAGATTGCCAAGGAAGGTCGCCTCACTGCCGTAGCCGAATATATGTATAATTAGCGTGCCACACCTATATTGTCGCATGTTGCTCTGTTAGCTTTTCTGCCCGATTCCATCCCTGGTGTCTCTTCCATCTGCCTGCTTGAGCACGCCGCCCTTGCCCCCTCCTTCTTTCCCCCCTCAGCTGCGTGCTCTCGCAGGCCCCCCTCTTGGAGCTCAAACGTTGGGAGCGTCGATGCACCATGTGCTGCAACGCTCATCCGCTCTGCTCTGTAGGCCTTGCCCGAATGGCAACCTCTCTAAGCCATGCTATCCGCCGAAGCTGAACGGTGTGTATCCTTGCAGGAGCTAGGCTCGCAACGCGAATGCCCTGACTTTTGGAGAGCCCCTGCTTTTGTTGAGCAAGTAAGTGAGGCCTCGAAGGGGTTCCCCAGCAGCAAGAAATATGAGATGGCGGGTGCTGCTGCGGCTTCGACAGCGAAGCGTGCTCTCCGTGATCAACGGCAGAGCAAGCGTCCGAAGGTCCAGAGCGCCGTCCTCGCCGAGTTGCCCCGCGTTTGTTTCCCGAACTGGAGGGGCAGGCTGCCCGGACATTTCCCTGGACACCACAGAGCGATCACCTCTGTGGACTGGAATGCCGTCAAAGTTGAGAGTTTAAAGCTCCCCCCAGCCATGAGACACGCTGCGTGGAGAACGATCAGCGGTGCTTGGATCACAACTCTCAGAATGCACGATAACGTACTTCGACCATGTTGCCTTGGGTGCCAAGGAACTCCCGATGCCATCCTCCATTATTGGAGATGCCCTCGTCTATGGGCTCTGATCAGAGACAGTCTCCGCCTTGCTGCCATTCCTGATTGTCCCATCCGTCGGCTTGGCCTTCTGTCCCCCTCGGACTCTTCGCTCATGTTGCCTGCGTGCGCCTATCTGTTGTTCGTTCGTCTTGCCTCTCTTCCTGCTCCCACCTCCGAAGCGAATGCGGCCAGCACGACTCCTGCCACCCGAGCAGCGCTGGCACGGTGTCCCGCAGCGCGGCGAGGTGGGCCCGGTGGATGAAAGTTTCGAGGCGCCAGCGACGTGCCGAGCAGGAGGAGGAGGAGGAGGAGGAGGAGGAGGAGGAGGAGGAGGAGGAGGAGGTGCAGGAGGAGGAGCAGGAGCAGGAGCAGGAGGAGCAGGAGGAGGAGGAGGAGGAGGAGGAGGAGGAGGAGGAGGAGGAGGAGGAGGGGGAGGAGTCTCGCCATCGCCGCGGCCCCGGCAGCCCTGAGGACACCCTGGACGGCGCGAGCAACGGCCCCCACAGGCGCCCCGCGGCACGGGGCGGGCGGCGGGAGGGGCCGCGCGGGCCGTGCCCAGTCAGAGCGGCTGTGTCTCTCGGCGTCGGAGGGGACTGGGCCTAGAGAAGGAGGGAGGATGATGAGGAGGAATGATGATGATGCTGATGATGAGATGATGGGATGATGAGGATGAGGATGATGATGATGAGGATTGATGATGATGATGATGATGATGATGATGATGATGATGATGATGATGATGATGATGATGATGATGATGATGATGATGATGATGATGATGATGATGATGATGATGATGATGATGATGATGATGATGATGATGATGATGGTGACGATGATGGTGATGCTGATGATGATGGTGATGATGATGCTGATGCTGCTGATGATGTGGATGATTAGGAGGAGGAGGAGGAGGAAGGATGAGGAGGTAAAGGTGGAGAAAGGAGGAGGAGGATTCCTGACCGTCATGGCCCGTTGCGTGCCCGGCACAGATTCAGCCCGTGGACCTTCTCTCGGCTTGCAAGTGCCCGGCGAGGGGCTGGAGGGGAGGATTAGGCGGTCCAGGGACGAAGACCCTGGGCCGAACGCGGAGTAGAAAGCAACCGAGAGGCCACGAACGACAAGGACGATCATGAGGGGACGAGGGAGGAGGAGGAGGTGGGGAGGAGGATGCGACACTTTGGAGCGGAAGCGCGGGTGCACTAAACCGACACAGCAGTATGAAGGGGCCGGTGTCCCTTTCGCTCGCACAGCTGGCCCGCCTCCACACACCAAGCGGATCGCGGCGGCGGTGGCACGGCGAGACAGCACGGTGGAGGAGCCGTCCGTCCCTCGACGGACGACCGACAACAAGATACAGTTTCAACGAGCTTGAAGACCCCACGAAATATGAAGGCCCAAGCGGAGGGGGGGAGATGATCCGCGAGTCTGCTCGGCACTCATCCGCTGGGCGAAACCGGGTAAGGAAGAGCCGACGATGACGCACAGCGCTTTCACTCATGGTGTGAGATTCAGGGACGGTGCAGTCGAGCAGCAGGTGCCCCGCAACCCCCGTCGAGTAGAACCCACACCGAAGGCACAGGACAATACTTCCAGCGGAGACCCAACACCTGTGGCCTCGGGCCCCTGCAGGTCCGACAGTCCCCAGAGGCGGCAAGTCGGTCGCAGGCACGGTGGCCTGCGACAGTGACGGTCGGCACCTTTACACCGCCCTTCCCTTCTCAGCTTCATTCGTGGGCACATGTGCAGGGCCGCGCCGGGACGGAATAGGCAACAAGATCCGACAGAAGAAAGTCATCGTCGGAGTCGGGACGAATGGCAGCCACAGCACGAGCGAGGGCAGCACCACAGGGAGGCGGAGGGGGCGAGAGAGGACGGGCGAGAGGGGATTTCGAGCAGGCAGGCAGGGCGAGCTGAGCACAGTCCCTCCCGATCGGGGAGAGGTGCGACAACCTCACCCGGATGAGCGAGGAGCTCGCCAGCTGGAGCCCCAAGCAGCTGGCGCCCTCGGTGAGGGCTTGCCGCCGAGGGCGCTCTCGCGTGCTGGGCCGGGAGCAGGAGAGCACTTCAGAGGACAAAAAGGAGTCCGATACCGCTGCCTCGGGGCTTGCTCCAGGCGTCCCTGGCCCAGGGCTTCCCGGCTTCTCGCTCCCTTTTGAAGCCCCTGGGCCCCCCTGGGCCTCGCGAGGGGTGCCCTGGAGGCCGTCGGGCCCTCCCTCGAAGTCCCGAGGGCACCTTGGGCCCAGGACGCCTCCGGCGACACCCGACTGCTCTTCCCCAAAGACCCCTCGTCGCCCCAGCTTCTCGCTCCACTTCGAAGCCCCTGGGCCCCCCTGGGCCTCGTGAGGGGTGCCCTGGAGGCCGTCGGGTCCTCCTGCGCAGTCCTGAGGGCACCTTGGGCCAGGGACGCCTCCGGCAACACCCAGCTGCTCTTCCCCAAAGAGCCCTCGTCGCCCGAAGCTTCTGTTCGGAGCGCACCCCAGGAGAGGTCCGCCGAGCAGCGGCAGCGGTATATACTTTGGCTGGCCTCCCCGGTGCGCGGTCTCCTCCCTCCTGGTCTGCCGCCCCCCCCTCCTCCTGCATCCTCTTTTGCCCCTTCCTCCTCCCTGCTTTCCTTCTCCTTGCTGCTTGGCATCGCTCGGACGTGTGCATTTTTCCTTCGGCGAGGACCATCGAGGAGCATCCTTGATCATTTGGCGAAGAAACCACGCACGAAACCGAAAAAAACACAGGGAATGAACGTCCGAGCGATGGCCAGGCTCCCCCCTTCCTGGTCCCCGCGGGCGGGCCGAATGTCGGTCCCCTCGATCCCATTCGATGCCGAGTGTCTGGCCGGCCCGATCCGCTTCGCTTCCGGGACCCCAGAGCGATCCGCTGTGGCCCGACGGTCGCATGGCGTTGTTGGGGCATCCTGACGCGGCCGCTCCGACCCCGACTCCGTGCCGATGTACAGTCGGGGCGCTGGAGAAGGAACCCTTTTCGCTGGGGAGGGGCTCGGTGTTCCTTGAGTGTTTCGCTGCTTGCCTCGGATTTCCCTTGTGTTTTCAATGGGGAATCGAAGTTCAACTTATGGAAGAAAGGGGCCCCGTTCCTTATTTGGGGTTCCTTAGGTCAACGCCCCGACTGTAGTCCGATCCGACGCGCCTTCTGCTGCGGTCTGATCTGCCAAGTCGAGGCGGACTGATCCTGCGCAGGGTGCCCCATCGGAGATGCCTCGGCTCCGAGGCCTCGGGGCACCTGCCCGTGCGCGCTCGCAGGTGCGCCCGCGACAGCCCTTACCCTGCGCGTCGGCCGTAGGCCCGCTCTCTTTGAATCTGGGGGCAAGCAGCGCGCCGGGAGGAGGGAGGGGCGAGACACGGAGGAGGCAGAAGGCGGGAGGCAGGCAGGAGGAGGGAGCAGCGTCGGCGGAGGGGCGCGGAGGGCGAGCGGAGGAGGGAGGGAGAGACGGAGGACGGACGAGGACGAGAGCGGCAGGGTGGAAGGCAGGGGGAGAGACGAGGAGGCAGGAGGAGGGAGGCTCCAGCGCTGCACGCCTCGGCTTCCGGTGTTGGCGCGTGGGCGTGCGGACCGCTGCGCAGGCTGGAGGCGGGAGGGGGGAACGGCTTGAGCGCTGGAGCAGTTGGTTTCCGATGCCGGCACTCGCTTTCCGAGCACCGCGAGCAGGGCGGAGGGAGGGGTGCCAGTTGGTCTGTCGGCCGCGACGGTTGACTTACGCTCTTGTAAAGGCGCCTGTTTTGGGGCGATGGGGGCTAAACGATGACTTTGATTGACGCTTATCTGACATGTCGTCCCATGTTGTCTACGCGCACCCGATGGGCGTCACTTACTTGCACCGCGATTCAACGCAATGACACAGAAGCGTCGTCAGCATGAACGTAATTTAAGTTAGGCAAAGGAAAAGGACACGATAGCTAGACAGTATGTGCCAGGAAGCATGTCTGCAGCGAAATACATACGCAGAGGGAGACCCGTGAAGGAGATATCGACCAGAAACAGTGTGGAACTTGAACATCTGACTACACAGAGAACGAGAGAGAGAGAGCGAAAGAGAGAGCGAGAGAGAGAGAGAGAGACAGGGACAGATACCTGACACGTTGCAGTGACTCGATACGTAGATTCCGAGTCAAGGAAGCCATGTATCGCACATCAGCAGCACAGGGCGGAGGAGACGGCCAGGCAGAGAGGGAGAGAGGCAGAGAGAGAGAGAGACAGGGAGAGAGAGAGCGGAGGACAAACAGTAAGCATGTGATTTTTCGTTTTGAAATACAAAAGAGGAAGAACCCAGTGAAAGCGTCCATAGAACAGGTGGTTGCATGCGTGCTAAAAATCACACGCGTGTCATCTAACCACGCAGGCCCATGGGGAAATATATACGAACGGCTGGCAACGTTCAACATAATAGGCATTCAATGCGTTGAACCATACGTGGAATCAAGGCACGGGGGATGGAAGTACGCATGTCATGGATGCTGAGGTAGTAACTCGGCCCAACAGGAACAGCATGTTTTACATTCACCACGACAGCACGAGATAGCTTACTCTGAGGGGTCTGAGTTGTGTTCAGAAGCGCTGTTCTGCTTCGTTCGGGTTCTTGCTTGTTCGCCACCTTCCCCGACTATCCCGATTGTCCTGGTGGTGCTGGGACGTATGTTCGTTCGCCACTCGCCCCAAGTAGCCTTCACTAGCCCTGCTGCCCCAGTTCAGTAGGATTTCTGTTTGCACGCCACTGGCTACGACCTGCGCCACTGCCTTGCTGTTGGAGTGTCCGTTCCTCACCACCAGCCCCGACTCCGACTAGCTCCGCTACCCAAGTGCCATTCGATGTCCGTTTCTTTGCTGTTGGCCCCGATTCCGATTAGTTTGTTTGCCTTATCGCCGTTGGGATTCCAATTCTTTCGTCTCTGCACCACGTACTTGTGTTCACAAGATGGGCGCTGTTGGAATGTCCGTTCGTCTGGCATTAGAAATCAGACATGGCGGCACGCATGTGATCAGCATTCTCAGTATGTATACCAATGCGCTGTCAGGCCTGGCTTCTTCTTTGCCGATAGGGATCGTCGTGGCCCCGACGATCCCCGTTGCCCCAGTGCTGTTGTTCGGAGTTCGTTTCTATGCCATTGGCTTGGGCCAGCTTCATTATTGTTCCGTCCTTTCGCATGAAAGCACAATCCTTCCGGTCGCAATGCAAACAAAGCCCGCCCTTCCACAATGAGAACGCACTACAAACACAATATTTATGGAATTTCCCCCTTGTCGCAATGAAAACGCACTCCCCGACTGGCCCTGCTTCCTTACCATGAAGAGCCCCAGCCGTTCACCGCCAGCCCCAGTCAGCACCGTTGTCTTGCTGCTGGGAGCCCCGCGCGTTCACCACTACGCCTCCCTGTTGCAGCAGGCACTTGTTGGGAGCTCCTCGCTGTTGCTGGACCCTGTTGATGGTCTGGGCTCGCGAAGCCGCGCTGGGATGACCATTTGCTCGCCACATACCGCCATCGTGCTGCATCAGGCAACGCATAGTAAGGAGCGAACGGCTTTTCTGGCCACGGCGAGCCTGGGCCAGAAGCAGGGCCCACGACAGAGGTCGAAGGAGTGGCCCGAGAACCGGAGCCCCTCCCGAGCCCAGAGCGGTCCTTGCCTCAGCATCTTGACTGCAGTCCCCGAGCAGCCCCGACTGAGGAGGAGGAGGGAGGAGGAGGAGGAGGGAGGAGGAGGGAGGAGGGAGGAGGAGGGAGGAGGAGGGAGGAGGAGGAGGGAGGAGGAGGAGGAGGGAGGAGGAGGGAGGATGAGGGAGGAGGAGGAGGAGGAGGAGGAGGATGGCCCCGCTGCCTGGCCGTGGGTGGCTCCCGTTCGGCTGCCACCGCCTCCCGGCTGGCCTCGGGTGGCGTTGGGTTTCTGCTTCCGCTTTCCCCGGCCGTATCCACGCTCGCTCCTGCCCGTTTGGACTGGATTGCGCCTGCGTCGGCTGGCTTCCAGGAGTGTCCATGTGTGTTCGGGCTGCGCCTGCTTGCTTCCACACGTTTAAGACGTCTGTACCTGCTTCGATTTGGGAGCCACGTGCAAGCATCATCAGGCGGCGATCTAGACTCGGGGGTCTGGCCAACAGACCACGCGAAATATACGGAGGAGCACGGAAACATTGCAGATCGACGTGTACGGAATTGCAGATGTTTGGGGATTCGGAGGAGGAGGAGGAGCAGTGACCGCTAGATTAGAAAATACAGGATGCCAGATGCCAGCAGATGAAACCGAACAGAACACGACACATATACATAAATAGATGCACGAGTAGGGTGCGCCGACCTCACCAGAGAGCGTTCCCAGAGGGACCGTAATTGGGGCGCCTTGGGGGTCGCGACCAGCATGAGTGGTTGGCCAAATCAAAGGCACGCATGAAGGATGGACCGAAACGGATGCGCCGATCCGAATTACGCGAGTTCGCCCTCCTGGACCATAGCAGGGGTTCTCATTGGGCGAGAAACATGCGAGAGGTGGGCCAAAGAGAATGCGCCGACGTCATGCGGACGTGTTTGTGGGAGCTGTAGTTGTGGCCCCTTATGGGGCGCGAGCCGTACGGGTATTCGGCCAGCCCGGAAGTACGGAGCACCATCTGTCTTGCAGCATCAGCGGTGTTTGCCCAAGCAGGGGAAGGAGGAGCCGAAGCAGCATCACCAGCAAGCGAAGTGTGGCGCGCGGCACACTGGATGCGAAAGGAGGGAAGCACAACGCACAATGGATGAACTTGGATGCGCTGTGGTTCGATATGGTTTACCACCGCTGCCGGTGCACTGTATGACCCTGTCCCTTGTGCGCTTCCTCTAGCGGTGTGCGCAAGCATGTATATTGACACCACCGCACTGTGTACAACGTGTTGTGTTGTATGTGATATGCTACTGCGATGGTTTACCGAGGATTTCGTGATCTCAGTTTCATTACTCCGCGTTGCACAATTTCGGTTGCCAAAGCATCGCTGCACCCCGGAATGCACTCATGCACTCCCCCCCCCGTAGCGCCAGACATTGCCAGAATAAGTGCAAAAGTATACCCGAGCTTATCTTACCCACAGTCGTGTTGGTATCGTCCGCTTGTTTGGGACTTGTTGACATCGGGTTTAGGATATTGTGTTTGATGTGGTGATGGTTGGTTCAATTTGTCCACACACTTTTCGCTCGGGAGCGGGCCCATTCCGGTCAAGAGCTAAACGGGACGCGGGTAGCCCTAATTGGGGAGA